CAGTGTACAATAGTTACTAGAGGTTATAAATGCAAGCATTATACACTTAAACTGTGAGAATTTCAGTGTATGTAAACTATATGTCAAAAAAATAATTTAAAAAACACATAGGAATTATAGTCAGACCTGGGTTCAAGTCCCAATTCAGACATTTCCTAGCTGTGTGACTTAGGACAAGTCCTCTCACCTCTTTCTTTCTTTCTTTCTTTTTGGCCACTCTGTGTGGTTTGTGGGATCTTAGTTCCCTGAACAGGGATTGAACCACAGTCCCGGCAGTAAGAGTGCCAAGTCCTAACCACTGGACCACCAGAGAATTCCCTCCTCTCACCTCTTAGAACCTCTGTTTCCTCAGTTGTAAAACGGGAGTAGTAATCGTATGCCTCACAGGATAACTGTGCAGAGTAAATGAGATAATGTATAAACAGCACTTTGTACGATGCCTGGCACTGGAGGTAATATGAATATTACCTATTATGTATTTACATTTATATTACTTACTTATATTTCTCTGTAGTTTACAGGTGAAATTGCTCCCTGATGATCTGCTTCCTGTGGACCTGTTCTAATCAGGGGCATCTCTGCTTGCCTCTTCCCATGTGATCCCTTGGTTAAGATAGGAAAAGTAAGGTCCGGAAACACAGAAATTTATGGGACTTTGGACCCTTGGCTCCACCAGTGACTTATTAGTCCCTCTGAGTCTCAGTTTCCTCAGTTGTAAAATAGTATACTAATATTACCCACTTCGTAGGGCTCTAGGCAGGTCTGGGAATTCAGACCTGCCCTAAGGTGGGGGCAGCAGCTGCACCAATAGAACCTGCCACCAGGGGTCAGGATTGCTACAGCCAAGTTCCCACCTATCCAGGACATTTCAATTTTTTGAGCATGGTTGTCTAACTTTATATTATGGAAAAATTCAAACATACACAAAAAGTAGAATAGCATAATGAACCCCATGTACCCAAGTTTCAACAACTAACAATATTTTGCCAGTCTTCCTCCCTCTTTTTGTTTGCTATGCTGCTTGCAGAGTATTTTAAAACATATCCTTAACCTCATTTCATTTTATCCAGAATACATTACTGTGCATTTCTAACTGAAAAAGGCTTTTATTACCACAGGCACTATGTCATTATCACACCTAACAAAAAAGAACAAATAATTCCTTAATCAATTAGTTCACATTCAAATTTCCCTGATTGTACCAAAGATGTCTTTTGGCAGTTCACTTGAATGAGTATCCAAGTAATGGTTTTGCGTTTGGTAAGTGTGTTGAGTTTTATGATTTAACATTCTACCTTCCTTTTTAATTTTCATGCCATGAATTTGTTGCAGAAACCAGGTCACTTGTCCTGTAGAATGTCCCACATTGTGAGTTTGGCTGCCTGTGGTGTTTGTCTATGCCCCATATTTCTGGTAAACTCATAATTAGATCTTGGCTTGATTAGGGTTTTTTTTTTTTTTCCAGGCAAGAATATTCCATGGAGAGCATTGTATCCCCCTCTTAATGATTTTAAGCCTGGTCAGTGGGTTCAGGCAGTGTCAGTCTAAGGTCTCCATTAAAAATTTTCCCAACAATTTTTCATCCAGTTGTTTCAGCATCATTTCACGATTGTTGCCAGGACTCATTGTTTCATTAGGTTTTGCAAAATCGTGCCTTTCTAAATCTATCATTTCTCCGGCATTTATTAATTGGATCCTTCTATAAAAAATAACTTTCTTATCTACTATTTGGTCACCTGCAATATAACTCATCAAGGAAGGAGCAAAAAATTTTTTATTTTCTTTTATTTATCAATGTTTGTAGTAATTAGTTGATTTCCTGTACAACTCCATCGATAAAAATGTGTTTTGCTTACATATCATTAATTATTTTTATGTATCTCATGTGTTGCAATCTATTGATGTCATTATTTTTCTTTTAATGCTCAAATTGTTCCATCTTTGGCCAGTGGGGCCCCTTTGTATTGGTTCCTCAGTCATTTTTACATGATCCTAATAGTCTTTGATAGCTTCCTGGCCTTCAGGCATAAGACAACCCAACCTCATCTTTCCTGCTCCAGATCTAGAACCAGCCAGTTATCAAAGGAGCCTTGACTTTCTTTGTTTAATTCTTAATTGATTTTTAAACTGGAAAATGGTATTTAGAGACCAAATCTGTGCACTAGGGGTGTTCATTACTACTGGGTTGGTCTTTGCTTCTAGGGCTTTTCAGCAGAGCTAGAACATACATTTTTGAGAGAAAAAAATACATATTTCATTCATTCTGCTATGTAACTCAGATCTAAGTTCATCCTAGCCTTCTTTAATACTTGCAACTCTTTTTCTCGTATGCTGAAAATCTTGATTCCTACTGCCACTGACACAACTACTTTGTTTTATCCAAAAATATAACTATCACAGCTTCAGAATAGCAATATTATTACTAATAATAAGGCTAACAAATGCAATTTAATATTTCTATGCAGTTCTAGTTCATCCGTAGATTATATCCTATTAGGGAGGTACAGTCAAAATACTTATAAAGCCACTTAAAATTATTTTCCCTGTGTAGTTATACCACTTCATTTGTTCCCATTTGCTTTTTGTTTTTAAAATTTATTTATCTATCTATCTTTGGCTGCATTTGGGTCTTCGTTGCTGCATGCAGGCCCTCTCAAGCCGCAGCGAGCAGGAGCCACTCTTCACTGCGGTGTGCGGGCCTCTGTTATTGTGGTGGCTTCTCCCTTCGCAGAGCACCGGCTCCAGACACGCAGGACTCAGCAGTTGTGGCTCGTGGGCTCTAGAGCATAGGCTCAGTAGCTGTGCACACGGGGTTAGTTGCTCCGCAGCATGTGGGATCCTCCCAGACCAGGGATCGAACCCATGTCCCCTGCATTGGTTAGGTGGATTCTTAACCACTGCACCATGAGGGAAGTCCCTCCATTTGTTTTTAATTTTTATGGAGTGCTTTATTCTTTTTATTGAACTGTTTTATAAATGTGCAACATTTACAAGTTTCCAAAATAGTAACTATATAATAATGTATATTCACAGAAGTCTCACTTCCATCCCTACCCACTCCATCCCACATAGCAAACAATTTTTAGAAGATTGAGTTTAGTTTTCTATTGTTTAACTTTTAAATATAAGCAATTAATGTATATTTATATCTTCCCACTTACACAGAAGATAGCATACTATAAACGCTATGTATCTTATTTCCCTTAACGTATACGGGCATCACTACATAATAGTTTCTGTTTATCAGTATATATAAGAACTCTTCCACATATCTTTTTACAGCTGCATAGCACTCCATCTTGTGTCTGTACTATAATTTATTCAGCTAGTTCTTAACTGACACAAGCAGTTTCCAATCTTTTGCTATAAAAATAATGCCATAATGAATAGCCTTGTGCACAGAGCTTTTTGTATTTTGCCAATATATCACTAGGACAGATTCCTGCAAGTTTAGCCCTGACCTAGGTTTACTGGGTGAAAGAGTAAATACATATGTAATGTGGCTATAGATTGCCAAATTACCTTAGTTAGTTACATCATTTTGCCTTCCCATCAGCAACGAACGACAATGCTATCCTCAGGAGTATTTTGGTATGATATCAGATAAAGGAGGATGCAGAAATGAATCACAGACAAGGTTCCTGTCCCCAGGAACTCTCAGCCTAGTAAAAGGCTTATGGGCAAATATAATGATAGAATGTAATCTTCAGGGCAGATTTATTCGGAAGCTTAAGCTTCAGAGTCCCTCACAGAGACCCTTTCCAAGGCCCCAGCAATGTATTCACAGGTCCACTTTGTAATCTTTTTCCTAAAGAGGACACCCCAAATTATTTAAACATCTACTTCACAGACTTTAGAGCCAGTTCCATAACTTTGGAGTTATGGGAGTGGACTTCAAGTTCTGCAACCGTCTTGAGAGGAGGGATTCCTGTATTTAATGACTGAGTCAAAGAGACAAAAAGAAAAGGCTCCTTTGACCAAAGAAATACCCCTCCCCAGATTCTGATCAGTTAGTTACACACAGGTAAGTAGCTGTCTACACAGAGCCCTCTACTTTCCCTCTGTTCTCAAGGGCAGAAATCAAAACTCAGAATACATCAGTATTCCCAGCTGACAGCTGAAGACTGGTACACCGCACTCAGGACTAGTCTGAACAGATTACCGAGTAGGGTTTTTTATTTTTTGTTTTTGGAGGTGGGTAGGAGGGTTTACACCAGGGGAGTGGGTATTCAAGGCAGGTGCCCCCCACCTCAAAACAGACACCTGTCAAATAAGGCAGAGGTCTGCTTCCTTACCTGTAAAAACAGGGTTAGTAATAAACCCTGCCCTCGTAGGGTTTGGTTAGGATTAGGAGAGATCACTTAAAGACTTAACCCAGTCCCAGACTCTCGGGAGAAGGTCCATAAATGGAGAACAGAAAATAGAACGGGTAATTGGTTGATCCTTGAGAGCTGTAACAAGAAATTCTTTGCACATTGTGCCTTATACAGCACTGGAAAGAGGAACAACCCCCTTATTGACAAAAAGTAGGTGCAGATTAAATCGGCGAAGAAAGAAGGGACGTTTCTGGCGGTTGCTTACTGATCTGTGAAACGAACTGAATGACCGATTGGTCCGGGTCTCTGAGCAACTGACAGTCCCGGGCTGCTGTCAGGCGAACGCGGGCCTGGATCTGGCTGACGGCTGTGGGGTGCCCCAGTGCCTCAGACTGACCGTCGGGCTGTCCTCGCTGTCAATCCCGGCCCCGGCCGGCCCGGACCTCCGTCGCTAGCTGCAGAAGCGAGGGGCATCCCAACTCTCCACGAGGAGTTCGAGGGTGTCGCCGCCAGGCAGGGCGTGCGCGCGCTGCAGGAGCCAAGCTCCGGCGCCGCGGCCCCTTCCTCCCCGCCGGGGGCAGGGCGCCTCCGACTCGCGGCTGCAGAGCCCCAGAACAACGAGGCGCCGGCTTCTTTAAGGGAGCTACCACCGCGCCAACGGAGCAGGGGCGTCTTCCCAGATGATCGCAGCCAGCCCCGCGCCGCCGCCGCCGCTGCCGCCTCAGCAACTGCACCGCCCGCAAACATGGCTCAGTGACTCTGACAAAAGGTGCAGCCTCCCTCCAGGCGGGGCGGGCGCCAGGCCTCGCAGCTCGGGCTGCGCCTCCCCGCGGGTCCGCGGAAAAGGTCCGCTTACCGCAGGCATCCCAGGCCCGCGCGGAGGAAGATGCACCAGGCGTTCCACCCCAGCGACCCCGCACACCTGCCCGCAGCTAGGTAGGTCGGAAATGGGGGCGGAGCGGGGGAGGGGAGGCGCACCAGGCGCGTGCACCGCCCCCGGCCCGGACCTGCTGCGGGGGACCACTCCCGGGCCGCGGGCCACCACTCCGGGGCCGCGGGCCGTGGACGCCCGCTGAGGCTGGAAGAGGACCAAGCCCCGGGTGTGGAGTGGGCTTCCCCGATCCCAGCCACCCCTGCGGGGAGGGGCACGAGTGGTGCGTTCCGGAGCGCGCACCCCTTCCGCGACTCCCGGCTCGGGAAATCAACGGGAGCCGGGGGCAAGCCAGCGGAGCGCCGGGCACGCGCCCAGTAGGACCGGCGCTTGGCGTCCCGGCTCACGCTACGGAGAGCCGGAGGGGGGCGGGGTCTCGCGGCGTAAGGGGGTGTGTCCGCGCGCACCACGGGGGCGCGCGCCGGCCTCTGACTGGAGGCCGCAGCGGCTGAGGCGCGAGCAGCCTGATAATGGCGGCCTGCAGAGCCCGTGAGAGGGAGAAGCGGCGGCGGCTACCCTGAGGTAAATCTGGCCCCTCGGCGTGGCAGAGAGGCTTTGCTGCAGAGCCGAGGGCCCTGCACGTGCCTCCCGCCCCAGGAGGCCTGTCACAGAGCTGTCAGCGGAGGCATCCTGGGGAAGGCCCCGCGCGCCTCAGGCCTCCGGCCCCAGCAGCGGCCTCCTCTTCTGCCCGTGGCCTCCTCCCCAGGCCCCAGGCCTCAGTTGCTGGCCCCGAGGAGTCGGGCAGCTGCAGGACTGTCTCCTCGGGGTAAAGGGCCCCGGCAGGATCCCCTCCGGGTTTCATCTGGAAGTAGCCGGGGAGGGGGAGGGCCTGATACTTGGCCAATGAGCGGGGCCCTGAGCCGCCGCGTCGGGCAACACCTCTGCCTAGGACTGGCCCTTGCCGGGCGCCGGCAGGTGTACGGCCTGGCCGGCCCGAGTCCGAGCGCTGGGTGCGCCCGGCAGGCGCGGGGGCCCGGGGGATGCCGTCCCAAGTCCCCGAGGTTCGCGCGGGATGCAGCACCGTGCTGTGTCTTGACCCAGGATCTCAAGGATTGCAGAAACAGCCTCCCTCCCCCTTATTCAGGGGCTCTCTCGTGTGGGGATATGGGACGGCTTCAAAGGCGGGAGCCACTTGGAGATGGATAGGAGTTGGCGATCCACGGAGAACAGGAGTGTCCACTGTGCAGCTGGGGCAGAGGATGCTGTGGCAGGAAATCAGACCCTAGGAAATACTGCAGGAATTTGAAGAGTGGGTGTCCAGTTAGAGGAAGTGGGATTAAGAACCAATCTCAGGAGCTTTCATTTTCTTTATTAAATCTATCCTATGGACTTAAAATAGCCGGTCCCAACTTCACAGGCTCTAGTGTCGATAGCTTTTTGTTCCCCTAAACTGTACAATATAAAAATTGTTCAATCTCAGGTTACTTTTCTTGCCCATGCTGGCATTCTACAAATGAGAATTTGTTCCTGAAGCTCTTCAGAGTCTTGACATTCTTCGGAGAGTGAGGAGGCACACTTTAGACTTTCTTGATTCAACACGTGAGCGTTTCCACGTAGGGCCTTTGCTCCTGCCTTTAAATGATTTATCAAATTGAATTCCAAAGAACTCCCTCAGAGAACCCCTTAAGATGCAGGACAGTTTTCGTTGGCAAGAAAGACCTAGATCTAAATAACTATGGCTAAAACCACAGCAAAATTTAACCGTATTCTAAGTAACTTACTTTATCTTTAAAGAAACATTTTTCTCCACAAACTGTATTTTCATTTATTTTGCAAGAAATAAGGAAATAACATAAACAAAATTAAAATAAGAACATACACAGTCTGACCATTTACTTTTAAATAATAAAAACAACTGCACATTTTCACTTCTCTATGTGATCTTGTTCACTTTCAGTCCCTAAGCATAAGCCAGGTTTTTGTATTTCTAACTGTGAGGGTTGGTTTTTGGTTTTGTCATTTTTATGACCTTTTATGTGTGTGTCAGTTTTCAGGAGAAGCTGGAGTTTTGTTTGTTTTTTCACAATCAGTAAATAAATACTGAATTTTTTGGTTTATTTTTAGCAGTGATGTTTTGAAGCAGTTCATGTAAGAAGCAGTATAGTGTAGTGGTTAAAATGAAGGCTGTCAGAGCCAGATGGCCTGGTTTCAAATCCCAGGTCCACCAGTTACTAGCTGTTTGACCTTGGGCATGTTGCTTAAACTCTGTGCTTTAGTTTCCTCATCTATAAAATGACCATAATAGTATCTACCTCATAATGCTGCTGTGAGGATTAAATGAATTTAATGTTATAAACTGCTTGGAACAGTTCCTGATGCATGGTAAGTACTACATTAGTGTTACGTGGTTTACTATTATTAAGATATTTAGATTTACCCAATGTATAGCAAATATCGTTCAAGCACTGCAAACAGTGAGACAGATGATAACTAAATCGTGCATAAGAAGAAATACAAGCCAGTAGGCAGACCTAATGTCAACAGATCACTTTGTTGATTTTTCCAGAAACCTTGACCTTGAAGATGGTGAGTAGCCAGCCAAAGTACGATCTAATACGGGAGGTAGGCCGAGGTAGTTACGGTGTTGTATATGAAGCAGTCATCAGAAAGACCTCTGCACGGGTGGCAGTGAAGAAAATTCGATGCCATGCACCTGAAAATGTTGAACTAGCCCTGCGTGAGTTCTGGGCACTAAGCAGTATCAAGAGCCAACATCCAAATGTGATTCACTTGGAGGAATGCATCCTACAAAAGGATGGGATGGTGCAAAAGATGTCCCACGGCTCTAATTCTTCCCTTTATTTACAGGTATGTGTGGTTGAATGGGAAATAGAAATGATTTGAAAGTAGCATTGGTCAGCAATAAGAGGATTGAAAGAGTCAGACGAACTTCTACGTTTAAATGCAGGGTATATAGTTAGAAATAGATAGGGGTCTGCCAAGAACTGAGTAAACGTTTGCTTTAAAACAAGGTTTTATTTAAACCTGTGTTGCAAATACCTAAAAATAACATATGCCGCCTGTTATGCCATGATACTTGCCAGTCTGCATAGGAATGGGGCAACATAGGAACTAGAGAAGTGATCGAGACTAGAGTCTAATTAGTTCACTTATTTGAAATCAGGTTTTTTTGGAACTGAATACAGAAGAGAAGGAAAAACTGTACAACTAGTAGTAGTACCCATAGGTAATTGGGCATTTCTTTATATATCACTGGCTTGAACATAAGCCTCTGCTGTTATAGAAGGTTATTTAATGTCTTAACCATGCAATTCCATTGAATTTTCATGGAGTATGTGGTGTAGCACCTGAATGTTATTAACAGGTGATAGCTAACATTTGGGTTCCTACTCATTCCATGCTCTGTGCTCAGAGCAATCCTATGAGGAAAGTACTATTATTACCATCATTACAAATGAAGAAACTGAGGCTTAGAATAGATAATGAATTTATCCAGAATCACATAGCAAGTGGCAGAATTGGGAGCTAAACATAGAAGTATCCAGCAGCTAAAACTTGTGCTCTTTTAACCTCCAGATTACTGTTTTGCCTCCAAATTACTCTTCTGTAGACCTGGGGAAAGCATTAATATAGGAAAACAAAAATTTTTTTTTTTTTTTTTTTAAGATTGGCTTCTGCCATTGGTCAAAATCTCTAGTAGCTCTACACTTGATGAAGAGAAAAGATACTTAAGACATAGCTAGTTAAAGGCCAGAGCAAAATTTCTTAAGTCCAGTTATTCCTGGAATAGGAAACAACTTGCCATGAGTGTGTCTGAATTCAGAATTTACCATCAGGGTACAAAAGTCTGTTTTAGAACAACAAAAGCTTTTGGACTAGGAACAACAAAGAAAACGAACGCATTATTCTGTGTAATTAGAAACTTGCAAGTTTCATTGTATGGTAAACAAATATCAGTCTTGAGAACCTAATTTATACTGCAAGTTTAGCGTGCTGTGCCCTGAAGTTTTCTCTCGTAAGATAAGGGATATAAAACACAACTGTTTAGCCTGTTTGTTTTATTGTATTTTTTTCTAAAAGTGCTTATTATGTACGTTGCAATGATAGAAACTATCAGAAACATTCTTACCACATTCCCTCCTAAAAGTGGATAGAACCTTGCTGGACTTTGCATTGAATTTTGGAGACTAAAGTGCATAATCAGACTACAAGTGCAAAGACATTTAAACATGTGATGTCTTTGCAAGTACTGATGGTATCCTTGAGTCCAGATCAAGCAACTGTTATAGTAACTAGGCATTAACCAGCTAATCTTTCAAGGCTTTAAGATATAAAGTACTTCCAGACTTGATTCAGTGATTTTTTTTTAATCTGAAGTACCTTCTTGTTTAATAATTTATTTCATCTTTTTAAAGCCTAATAGACCTGTGTTTGACTTGTGGCACTTTTTGCTAGCTGTATGACCTTGGATATATAACCCACCTTTTCCCAGCATCTGTATCTTCATATGTAAGGAATAATAATTTCTACCTTCCATGGGAGTTGTCAAAATTAGAGGTGATGTAGATACAATACTTGGCACATAGGAGGTATTCAGTAATAAGCAGCTCTATTAAAATTGTCTTTTCTGTGGATTTATTTTATTAACCAGACGTTCATCCACGCTTTAGCAAGTGCCTACTCTAAATTTACACTAGTAAAGACAAACAAATCTATAGTGTGACCACAGAGTCTCTATACATGGTCTTACCATTCTGTACATAAATTTTTTTTTCTCCATGTTTTTCTAGATATCTTCCTTGTTCTCATTTGGAATCATTCAGTCAGTTCCTGAGAGCTGAAAACCTCACCTAGAAGAAATGTAAAACAAATAATTAACAGAGGATACATCTTATGCATAGGAACTTAGTGGCCAATATGTATACTTGTGATGAGTGTCATGAATGAAAAGTACAAGATGGTATAGGCACATAGAGTAGGGAACCTGACATAATCCTGGGGTTCAGGAATTAAGAACTGTTTCAACTGAAACTTGCAGGGTGAATAGGAGTTAGCCAGGTGAGTGACTGAGAAAACTTCCCAGGCAGAAATAACTATACATACAAATGTCTAGAAGCAAAAAGCATGAAGCGTTCTAAAAATTGAAAGAAAATACTAAGACTGCACTATACAGGGAGAGTTGTTTTAGATGAGGCTAGAAAGATCAGCCAGGTCAGAGCACACAGGATCCCATAGCCCATGTTAAAGAGCTTAGACTATATCCTAAGAGAACAGGGAAGCTATTAAAGGACTGCAGGCAAGAGAACCAATGGCTAACATCCTCTACACGTGACAGTAAGCAGACTGGGATCTGTATTTCTGTAGCTCTCAACCAGGGGCCCTCACACTATAGCCCTCAGCCTGTTTTTGTATGGCCTGGATACTAAAAATAGTTTTTACATTTTTTAGAAGTTGTTTAAAAAAAAAGAAGAAGAAAGAAAGAAAAGGAAAAAGAATATGGAACACAGACCTTATGTGGTTTGTCAAGCCTAAAATATCTACTATCTGGCTTTACTCTAAACCGTTATTTGAATTCTGGAAGTCTGCATTGCTCAAAGCTGTTTAGGAAGTTTTCTTTTGAGAATGAAGACAGAAGAAGAGAAGAAATGAAGGAAGAGTGATGGTGCTCATCTTTAATCTCAGCATATTTAGTAACAGTGCACCTGGTAAATAACTGTATAATCTGGACCTTTCTCTTTTTTCATTTTCTGTCTCAGTGGCAAACACATGCAACAAGGAAAATGTATGCAAAGAAGACATCTGCAGACCGTTGCAGTTATGGCTGTTTGCCATTGGGGGAGATGGCATGGAGAGGCGTTCTTTGCCTCTGCCCACCAAAAAGACAAAAGGAAGTACTAGTAGATTTAAACATAAAATTAGCGGTTCACTCAATCTTCAGCAACTCCTCACCTTCCCTACTGAGTTTCTATTCAACCCATAGGCCTGAAAAGGACACCATAGGACAAATGCTTTCAAAGCACTGTATTTTAGAAGATAGTTCCTGTTCAGTGAAGTAATTAATCTTGAGTTTCAGGTAGTAGGAGAGTTATAATTAGATAATGATATAAGTAAAACAGTGGTTTATTCTAGATTTTCAGCTTGTATCAAACAAATATACAAACTCAGATTTGAATTTTTATATCAAAATGCATGTATGATTTTTATAAATTGGTTTTTAGAAGCCATCTGTTGATAGAGATAGCCAACATATTTGCATTCTGCTTGTAGAAGTTTATGAAGTAATGATGTCTTTAGTTTTATCAGTGACTACAGGAGCACTTTATTTCTTGTTCCTTCATAATTTTCTCTCAGTTTCACAGACTATGTTGATAGTGTAAGTGCAATAGGCAAGAAGTAGATTTCAGGCAGTTTCATGGAATAGAATTTCCTAATTGATGTTTATTCCCCAGCTGGCAAATCTACCTGCTGAAACTTTGATCTTTTCAGGAAGCTATTAACTAGAGGGTTAGAGTTCATCTCCATTGACACATGTAGAAAATGTATAGCCAGTTGGATACTTTTCAGAATAAAGCTATTTTAAAATAAGTTTTTACCTCTTGACTTGGAGATTTGATGTGTATTTGTTAGGGACAAAGTGACAGTTTGAAGTACTAAAGTTTAAAATAAAACGCACATATGAAAGCACTGACCAAATAAAATATTCATGGAATTCCCACTTAACATTGGAGACTAACTTAATCAGTAACTCTTTCTCTATAGCTGAATTGTATAAACTGTGCAGATGATTGTAATCTGTTTTTTTATTTCTTATAGCTTGTAGAGACTTCACTAAAGGGAGAAATTGCCTTTGATCCCAGAAGCGCCTATTACTTGTGGTTTGTGATGGATTTTTGTGACGGAGGAGATATGAATGAGTATCTGTTGTCCAGGAAACCCAATCGTAAAACTAACACCAGCTTCATGCTTCAGCTGAGCAGTGCCCTGGCTTTCTTGCATAAAAACCAGATCATCCATCGAGATCTAAAGCCTGATAACATCCTGATTTCTCAGAGCCGGTTGGATACCAGTGACTTGGAACCCACACTGAAAGTGGCTGATTTTGGTCTAAGTAAAGTTTGTTCAGCATTTGGGCAGAATCCAGAAGAACCTGTCAGTGTAAACAAGTGTTTCCTTTCCACAGCGTGTGGAACAGATTTCTACATGGCTCCTGAAGTGTGGGAGGGACATTACACAGCAAAAGCTGACATCTTTGCTCTGGGGATTATCATCTGGGCAATGCTGGAAAGGATCACATTCATAGACACAGAGACAAAGAAGGAACTCTTGGGGAGTTATGTAAAACAAGGAACTGAGATCGTGCCTGTTGGGGAGGCACTTCTGGAAAATCCCAAAATGGAACTTCTCATTCCTGTGAAGAAAAAGTCTATGAATGGGCGAATGAAACAACTGATTAAGGAAATGCTGGCTGCAAACCCTCAGGATCGTCCAGATGCTTTTGAACTAGAACTCAGATTAGTACAAATTGCATTTAAAGATAGCAGCTGGGAAACGTGACACATATATTATTTGCAAATATCTTGGATAATATGCTGCTTCTGTTTTAACAGTGATGCAACATAATGTGGCTGAAAAAGAATATAAAAAGCTAAACTCCACCTTGTAAGGGTTTAGATTTTATTGTGGGATTTTTTTTTCCTCATTTTTCTTAAGTCCAAGCTGGCCATTTTGTTAATATGTTTTAAGTGTGTATTACCAATGTGAGTGTAAATTTTTTTAAATGATCATTGGTAGAAGTTTGGCAGGAAAATTTTCTAAGAGCCAAGAAAAGAAGAAAGTCCAGTTTTCTGGAAATATGTCTCTTAAGTATTTTAGACATTCCTTGTCAGTATTAGGAATTTCCATGGAAGAAGGGGTTTGCATGCTGGTAATGCAACCTTTGAAGCTTTGTAAAGGAAACATAAATGTATATATTTATGTATATGTAAGTATGTGAATGTGTGCATTTTGCATTCCATATGAAAAAATGCCACTTCTGTTTAAATTATTTGATGTAGGTTTGGGTTTTTGAGATTTGCTGGTGAAATCAGTGATGAAAAATAAAAGAACCTTCCCTCATCTCCTACCCTGTCCCTCCCTCTAATGAAATCATACTAAGTTTTTTATTTTTATAATATTATACAGCTTTTTTTTTAAGGCATCATTTTGGAGAGTCTAAAATTATCTGATTAAACGTAAGTGAAATTAAATGATCCAAAGCTGCTGAAGTATGTTTGAGCTCTCCAGTGCCCTAAAGCTGCAGGAGTTGAATTAGCCATGCAATCATGTGGTACAGGTTGGCAAGGACATTGATGATTCAGTCATACCTTCTTTAGATAACCACGCATTCAATTAACTAATTAAACCACTGCATTGGGACATGTCTGCACTTGAGCATCTGCAATCTGATACAGATTTGAACACAGGATTCTTCTGTATCTGAAAACTTTGCTGTATATGAACGATAGTAATTGATATATTAATTTTTTATTTCAAGACTTTGTCAAAGCCTCAGCATCAAGTCGAAGAAACCAAATGAGTTCTACCCTCACGTTGCCTGCCCTAATATGGTCTCTCATTTAATCACTGGAATTTCTTTCATTTTGGCACTAATGCTGTTTTGTCTAATTTGGCACAGTAATGGTAGTGATATGGTTGTATTCAATGTTGATCACCTTTTTCTAAAGTGGGAAATGATACAGTTTGGCAAATGGGTAAAATACTGTGGCATAAGTTATATCTTTCAAATAGAGAGGTTATCAATTTTATACAATCACTTGGTATGGTCTGTGTCAAGAACCAACAGACCATTATTCTTCTTGAAGTCAGTTTGATTTTAACCCCATATGGTTGTCTCCAATTTTTTTTCCTGTAAATGCAGATAGTTCAAATGTAAGGGAAGAAAAGTTTTCCTAAAACAGAACATTAACAACCTTTAAGGTTGTTAATACTTTAAGACCATTGTATATAGATTAATCTTTATAAAGCACTAGACTCTTTGGTCAAAAGTTAAAAAAAGAAATTTTAAAAGGTATTAGAATATTGAAATCATTGATAATTCAGTCTCCTCAGTTTTTTGAACTTCCACAACTTTTGGAATATTCCTATCGTAATTTTTTCCTTATTTAAAATGTGTTCGGGGGACTATAAAAGGTGAAAAAGCACAAAAAATTGGAGTACATAAAATTTCTGAACTATGCATTACTTGGTATGAAGTTTGAATAATAACTGAAAGGTTTTATTAAAAATAAAACCTTTTAAGTAAAAAAAAATCATATACTTTTAATATTACTCTCAAGCTGATAAATATAAGAATTCTTTTGGAAATTAGAGGTGGAAATACACTGGAACTTCATGATAATTAACCCTCTGGATAGCCAAATTAGTATAACACAGATCTGGCCAAGGGGATTGAGTTACTGGAAGTAAAAAACATTATAATGTCTAATCAATAACATGGCACTTCAGCAAGAGATTCATGATGACTTAGGTGATGGTATGCCAATGCTTCATTTGCTCTTCAGATATCTACATGTCATGGTTTTGGCCCCACCTCATTTAAAATAGTTAACAATTATAATTTATTTTGAAAAATATTCTATGTTACCTATGAAGTGGAATTATTTCTTTCATTGGCGGTAACGATGTAAGGCGATCAGGAAGTTTCTTCTGAAATTTTCTCCAGTCCTTGTATTCTAAAATAACCCATGATACCAAGAAAAATTATAGTAAATTCTTTGTCTTTATTCTTTCAGTCAGGAGGTATTTATTAAGTACCTACTGTGTGCTCAGCACTAAAGATCAGTTGATAAAATAAGAATTAAAAAATGGTATATAGCCATGGGCCTTTTCCAGCCAGGAGTAAGAAATAAAAGATGATTAGTGAAGCTGGGAAATTCCTGTATATTGCTAGGGGAAAAATGAAAGCAAGAATTTGTGCACAGTGCCTTGCGCATAATAGGTACTCAATAAACAATTATTCCTCATAGAGTCTCTTGCCATGGTTTATAGTGTTTTATGAAATTTGTCTTAATTGAAAAAAGACCAAATATTTCAAATAAGTTTATAGGCAGCTGTGGCCAGTTAAAATAATGGGGTTGTACAGTTAGTTCCTAGAATGTTATTTTGCACTAGTTGTCACTTAGAAAGATGGGGTTCCTGTAGTTTTTTGGTGCTAAGGGATACTTTGTCATTATGATGAAGTAAATGTTAAGTGTCAGATAAATAGCACACTGAATAGTTCTTTCTGCTGGTCTGTTTTTTCCTCTTTGTTGTTGTTGTTTTTAACTGTAAAATGTTTATCAATCAAACTATTGTAGCAGCTACAGATAATTCACCAGCATGACAAAATGGTCAAAAAATAAGTCATCAGCACTTCAAAAATGAAAGTAACTTTTGAAATTTTCTTTTTAAATTGTCAAATATATTTTATGAAGAATTTATAAAAGGGGGAAATGATTGTAATTTATTGTTCATGACTTTTTTTTTTTTTAAATAAAGTGAATTTCAACAAAAAAACCCTGGAAATGCTACATTGCTGCTTTGGTGGCTCTGTGAGTGGTTCTGTAATGCTTTACTTCATAGACATAAAATAGAGCATATAAAATTTGAAACAATGTCTTTTTCAGCCTTATCTATTAAATGAAACTATCTATAATAGAAGCTATTGCAGAGGAAAAGATGATTGAATTATAGGAGTTTCAGCATTTCAAGTTCTCTAAAATTTTAATGTTTGCTGTATTAGAAGAACTTGTATTGCCTGAAATAAATGATCTTCTTTCATTTTTCTTTCTATCTCATTAAGCTGAGGATGCATCCCAGACTCAGAATGAAGTGTAGTAAAAGTACTAAGAGGATGCAATTTTTCAGTCTTTAACTTGAGACCATGGTTTCTTTTCTATAAAAAAGTCATCTGAGCCACTTTTTTCTCTTCTTTTATAGGTTTTATTATGTATGTCTTTTCCAGAATAAACAAAGTACTGAGGATGTAGTTACTTAGTGGTCCAATGGAATAGCAGAGGGAAAATGAGAGAAAACTTTAACTCTACATGTGATCTAATGATGAGTAGGAAAGTAGGTGTCAGAATTGTGGCTGCTTCTGACTCTGCTGCCTCCTGGTACAGCCTTTGCAGACAGGTAAATTTTGCTTTATATTTAGAGGGTTTTGTTTTGTTTTGTTTTTGAATCTTGAAGCTATAAATACTTGTATTTACTAGCCTTTTCCTTTGCAGTTTACAAAGCGTTTTCACATAGTTTTTACATATCTTTTCAGTGAGTTTTACTTAAAATAGGGGCTGATTTCTTGATGAAGAAATTAATAGCAACTAAACACCAGTTAATGAGGTAAAGCTTTTACCTTAACACGGTTTTAGTGCCTAATCTCTGACTCCAGGTGGAGTTTACTCTGACAAAGCTTTATCTTTCTCACTGAAGTAATGACCCTAAGGTTGTTCTGGTCTTTTCTTTAAATTCAAATGTTGCTCTCTTGGTCGACCAATCATAGATGTCCTCTCAAAGTGCAGTGTAATGATAGACAGTTGGTTCTGATTAGATAATAACTCCCACTTGAGAAACCTACCAGCCACACTTCTTGGAAGCCACACCTCTTGAGGGCAAGTGCCTCTTTTTTTTTTTAAACTTTTTTTTTTTTTTTTTTTTTTGCGGTACGCGAGCCTCTCACTGCTGTGGCCTCTCCCGTCTCGGAGCACAGGCTCCGGACGCGCAGGCCCAGCGACCACGGCTCACTGGGCCCAGCCGCTCCGCGGCATGTGGGATCCTCCCGGACCGGGGCACGAAGCTGTGTCCCCTGCATTGGTAGGCGGACTCCCAACCACTATGCCACCGGGGAAGCTCGGCAAGTGCCTCTTTTAAAGGCAGCACTTTCCCTTTTGCAGTTGTCATTGGTTAGAAGGGAATTGTTTAAAAAAAAAAAAAATGCCTGAGCTGGGAACTTCACTCTTTTATTTCCAGTTCAGCCCTGGTATTTCAAGCTTGGCTTGTTCTGAGCAGAGGTTAGGCAACTTAATGTTACCAAAGGCATTGTGGTCTCGCTGCAGAAGCACAGGCAGGTAGCAGGTCTCATACTGAATACTAGCTTTCACAAATACCTACATAATTAATGTGTGGCCTTGGGCAAGTCACTTCATTCTGAGACTCAGTTCCCATATGTGTAAAATGGAGGTGATAATATTTACATTTCAGGGTTTTTGTCAGAGTCAGAGATAATACACATAAAGTACCTGGCACATTAAATTCTCCACTGGTAGCCATTGCTGTTACTATGTTCTGATTTTGATGATACGTTGAATGAATGAATAGATTTCCCATGAACCAGTCTTCAGTTGTAGCTTTTATTCTTGTCCCTTTGGGGAGAATCTGATGAAGGCTCTACATCCTCTCCTCAGGAAAATGTTTGCCAATAATTTCAGGAGATTTATAGATGCCCACATCGACCCCAAGTTAAGGGACCCTGAGCTATAGGCTCTACTGAGTACCTCTGTGCTATAACTCCTGGGCTGAAAGTGGGCCATATGTGAGGAGACTTCTAGGGTACTTGTACCACTTTGTTTCTTGACCTGAGTGCTGGTTAGATGGGGTGTGTTTACTTTGTGAAAATTCATCAAGCTGGACTTACAAGTTTTACACTTTAGTGATTTATACTAAAGTAAAAATGTTATTTAAACAAATATGCATTGGGGCTGGAAACTATTGTGCCAGCTGTTGTCAGAGACAGAGAGGGAAAGGACACAGACTTAGAAATCAGACACTACTTTTCTGTTACTAGCTATGTGACTTGCATGAATTCCCTAACCTCTCAAATCTATAGCTTCCCACATGTATAAAATAGAGATAATACCTGACTCAGAGAACTGCAAAGATGAAATGAGATGCTGCATGTAGAAAGGCACGGCACAATCAACAAATGATTGCTTCCCATTCTCTTTGGAGGACTCAGGGAATGACTCTGAGCTACTTTTACTGTTAATTTACACCCCTGATAGAGAGCAAGTTTTGTTTGTTTTTTATTTAATTTAACTTATATTTTTACAATATTTGAAAAATATCTTGTATTCCATGACTATAATGTCCCGTCCTGCCTGACTCTTTGCCTTATACCCTCCACAGGTATAGTTCTTAACTAACAATCTCCTTAGCCCAGTTTTCTTTCCTCTATTTGCTGATAACATGATTTCTGTCTCTCAGACGTAGAGAACCATGCCTAGAAATTTGGAGAGTACTCATAAGCACCAAATCCTAGAATGTCATGCCATTTCTCCTAGCTTTGCGTATAAGGCAAGGAGAATGTGAGTTAACCCGCATGAATTGAGAGGTGACAGTAGAAGCACGGCTGCAAGGGGGCCAGAGAAGAGCATGGCAATAGTGGCTAAAACTCCAATAACAAGAATAGAATTAGACTACAGTGGTTCCCAATTTCGGCCATACATTAGAATTTTAACCTAGGGAGACTGAAAAAAAACCAAACTGATAACTTCTGCTTGTGGCCATTAGGGAGTGACAGGGCATAGATTTAACTTCCGGCTTTATACAGCTAAACCGTCAGACATTGGACACCTGGCAGTGCAGGATAGTGATCCCTGGGAGAAGGAAATCAAATGAGGAGCACTGTGATTGCCCCAGCTCGCTTCCTGTAGAGAATCTTCAGGCTGCCATACAGGGAAGGGGCATCTAAACCAGGTCCAGCAATCTCGCTGAGTTGAGGAGACAGCATTCAGAGTTCAGGGAGGCCAGGTCAACTAGAATTCACAGGAGTGAATTCCAGCCATTTGCGGAGAGCTTTTTCAAGACATTGGCTGAGCACTGATGAGTATATGCTTGTGAGGAAACTACCTGTGAGCAGGAAAGACTGTCTGAAAGGATCAGGCAGAACAACCCTCCCAGCTCACACTGGATCTAGGATAATTGCTGTTCCCACCAGCCAGAATGGAGAGATCTCCTAATACATCACAGAAGTACATCCATCAAGAGTGAGGCCAAATTAGTCCTAGGCTAAAGGGTATTCTGGATCTGTCTAACAAAGCTTAAAAGTCAGTCTTGAAAGAATAAATATTTTTCCCTAAGAAACTTCACGTGCCAGGACAAAGCTCAAAATTACTTAAAGGAGTACAAAAAATTCCAGTCCTCAATAATGTAAAATTCACCATGTCTGCCGTAAAATTAAAAAGTATTAGGCATGCAAAGAAAGCAGGAAAATACAGCCCACGTTGAAGAGAACAACCAGCAGAAACAGGCCTCAGAAATAACACAGGTAAAGTACTATACAAAGGTGTTAGATATACTTCGTGTGTATATTTGGAGGCAGAGGGAAGCATGAGCACGTTAAGGAGAGAAGGTTTGTAATATATATATTCCAAAATGAAATTTGAGAAATGAAAAATATAATTACTGAGGTGAGAAATACACAGAAATTAGACACTATAGAAGATTAGCAACCTTGAAGGCAATTCAATATAAGCTATACAAAATGAAACAGAGAGAAAAGAAGACTGAAAAAAAAAAAATGAGCACAGCATTAGTGAGCTGTGAGACATTAAGTGGCCCGTGTATAACTGGGGTCGCAGAAGAAGAGACGAGAGTTGGAGAAAATATTTGAAGTAATAATGGTCAAAATTTTTTCCTAAATTTGATGAAAATTAGAAACTCAGAGATCCAAGAAGCTCAATAAGCTCAGGAACAAGAAAACTATGCCAAGATATATCAATTACTTAAAATCAATGATAAAAGAAAATCTCAAATGGAGCCAGAGGAAAAACATACCTTAC